ACAACAGCAAGCAGAGTTCTAGGTAGAAAGTTGATAGTTTGTAAGAGAGCAGTGAAGTGGTGGGACGAAGAAATCAAGCAAGCAATTCGAGTACGTAGAGAGTCACACGCAAAATATGCGGCAGGGAAAACAGATGCAGGATGGAAGGAGTATGTTGAAAGTAGAAAGAGGGTGAAGGAGTTGGTCGTGAAGAAGAAGAAAGGGTTGTGGGAGGAAGTAGTCCAAAAGACTAACGAAGATTTTGAGGGGGGGATGAAGCAAATGTGGGTAGGAATTCAAGGGATAGTGGGCAACAAAAGAGGGGGAGACACGGAAATAACGACACTAAGATCTGCCGAGGGTAAGATGGTAAGCAGTTCTAAAGGAAAGAGGGAAGTACTAGTAGAGCACTACCGCAAACTTGGGACACCCACCACCAACGACAACTTCGACTCGGAGTTTGAGAAGGAAATCAACTCGTGGGCAGAGGAAAACGTTGAAAGATCTCAGAGGGAACGTAGTGATGTGGACGGGTTGCAGGGAGAGTTCACACGAGAAGAGGTAGAGGACTGCGTAGCGAAACTCAAGAATAGAAAAGCGGCAGGGGCTGATGGAATTGTGAACGAGCTTTTGAAACAGGGGGGGGAGGGGATGATCAACATGTTGATCCGGATATTCAACTGGATATGGAAACACGAGTACGCGCCGAAGAGATGGAGAGAAGGAGTAGTCGTGAACCTGTTCAAAAAGGGGGATAAAGCTGACCCGGGGAATTATAGAGGGATAACCCTGTTGAGCACAGTGGGGAAACTGTTTGGCAAGATGATAGACAATAGAATGGGAGACATGTTGGAGGGGAAACAAAAGATCAGCGAAGGACAAAGCTGGATTTAGACCAGATCGTAGTTGTGTAGACCATGTATATACGTTGAGTAAAATCATCCAAGGTAGGAAAGACGCCGGGCGTACGACATACTGTTTCTTCCTCGATATACAAAAAGCCTACGACACCGTATGGCGCAATGGATTGTGGAAAAAGATGTGGGACATCGGCATCCGGGGGAAAATGTGGAGGATGTTGAAAAAGATGACAGAATGCACAAGAAGTGCGGTGATGTTGGATGGGGAAATTTCGAAGTACGTGGATATACTCCAAGGAGTCGCACAGGGCTGTACGATGTCACCCACTCTTTTTAAGATTTACATCAACGATTTGATAAGGGCGGTTGAAGCAGTAAGACAGGGAGTCCAAGTAGAGGGAAAGAGTGTGTCCGGACTGATGTTTGCAGATGATTTCGTGGGGGTATCCGAAACACCAGAAGGGTTGCAAGAACAAATAGATGCGGCGGTAGGATACACCCGAAAATGGAGACTGTCGGCGAACGTAGGAAAATGCGCAGTAGTGGTCTGTAACGAAGACAAGAAAAATCCCGTAGAAATCAAATGGAAATGGGGGGAGGAAGAACTACCGGTAGTAGACAAGTATACGCACCTGGGAGTAGAGATTTCGAAGGAGTGCTCATGGGACGCACACATAGCGAAGTTGATTGGGAAGGGTAAAGCTCAGATAGGCAAGATGGACGAGATCCTTACGGACCCACACCTAGACACTAGGATTAAGAGGTGTATTCTCTTGAAGGTGATTGTACCTAAGCTAGAGTATGCGGGAGAGATATGGGAAGGTAACGAAAAGGCCGTCAAGCAGCTGGAAACGGTGCAGATGGCAGCGGCCAAGAAAATACTAGGATGTTCAAGTACAACGAGCAACACTGTATTGAGAGCAGAATTGGGAATGTACTCTCTTAAAACAAAGAGAGACATGCAGAAGTTGAAGTGGCAGTACAAGGTAAGTAGAATGTCGGACGATAGACTACCAGCCATGGTTGACGAGGCAGCTTGGGGAAAAGCGACTCCAGGGAAGAAGGGAATCAGATGGGACAAGGTGGTAGAGAAGGTTTGGAAGGAGATAGGAGACGAGGAGGAGACGTTGGACACGGAAGGGTTCGGGGGGTTCAAGACGAAAGTCAAGGAGATGCTAGAGAGTAGGGAGGAGACAACCCTTCGGAAGAAGGTACGAAGCGGAGACCACTTGGAGATATACGGGAAGTTGAAAGAAGGGATAGGGATGAAGTACTTGGACGGCCCCATGGACTATGCGAAAAAGCTGAAATTGCAATTTCGAGTAGGCGATCTGGACTTGCCAGAACGGAGGAAGAGGTATACCAGCCGTCGGAGAGAGGAAGAGGAGGATAGACACACATGTCCATGTGGCAAATCGGAGGAGAGTAGACCCCACATAGTTGGGGAGTGTGAGTTGTACAGGAAGGAAAGAGAGGATCTCGAGGAGGAAATGAGAAAGAGAGGGTGTGACATGGACAAGTTTGGTAAATTAGACAACAGCGAAAAAACGATCGCGATAATTGGGGATAGATGGTGGGCACAAGAGGCCCTAGAGGACGGGGATAAGATGTGCAAGAAATTTTTATGGAGTTTGTGGCAGAAACGTAAAGAGCTCCCAAATGTTGGTGGTGTCTCTAGTAGGTGTAGGAACGGTGCTCCGTCTCGAAAGGGACGCGTGGTCAATGGTCAAATGACTACGGCAAGCAACAAATGAGTACGCCCCCCTTGTCCTCGTTACCTATGTTTGCTCGGCCCAGGTCTTACCTGCTCAAGGCTGACGGGAAGGTGGTGGAGAGGCCGCAGCACATGATCATGCGCGTGTCGGTGGGCATCCACAAGGACGACATCGACAAGGTGATCGAGACGTACGACCTCATGTCGCAGAGGCTCTTCACGCACGCCACCCCCACCCTGTTCAACGCCGGCACCCCCAAGCCCCAGATGTCGTCGTGCTTCCTGCTCACCATGAAGGAGGACAGCATCAACGGCATCTACGACACGCTCAAGCAGGTTTGTGTGTGTGCCGTCTGTTTGCTTTTTTTTTGTGTGTCGTTGTTTCTCTGGTTTGCGTGTGTACCTCGCTCCCCGACCGGAAACTTGAAACCGGCGAGTCTCAACGGGCGGCGCAAACACCCTAAATGCCTAGTAGTGGTGGGTTTATGACTACGTTTGTACCCACAACGCTTTCCAGTCCTCGCTATGTGATACGTCATTCTTGAGGATGTCGCGATGCTTACTTCCAGGCTTCATCGAAGCGTTTCTCGATGTATTGTTCTGGTGAAATATTGCACACTGGTATTCGTTTTTTGTGAGCTTATGACTGCCTCGCTCCATTCCCCCCGTCTGTGAAGAGAGAAAGGATGGGCGGCGGTATCTATCACCACATGGTACCACGAAGGCCTGCCCTCGAGAAAGCGTACCTCTCTATTTTTGCTTTTTTATTGTTTTCTCTCTCATTTGCTTTCTGTGTCTACCCTCACACACGTAGTGACTCTGCAAGTTCACAGCTTGGCGCTCAACCTCGCTTCAGTATCAACCACTTTTGCCTTGTGCCCCCGTGCTGAGTGAGCACCCCCCGCCTGTCTCGCCCTGCCGCGGCGGCGCCGTCGCTGCGCTCCCCATGCCCCTCCCGTCGACTCGCGTTCCCTTCCTGACAGTGCGCCCAGATCTCCAAGCACGCGGGAGGGATCGGCCTGTCGATCCACCACGTGCGCGCGGCCAACTCTTACATCCGCGGGACCAACGGCAGCTCGAACGGCATCGTGCCCATGCTGCGCGTCTTCAACAACACCGCGCGCTACGTGGACCAGGTCTGTGTCTGTGTCTTGTGTTTTTTTTTGTTTCGGTCGCCCGCACTAACCGGCTGACCAACGAAAATAGGTCGTCTTAGTGCTCTGAAAGTGGATCTTCGATTGTTTGGCGAAACGATGAACAAGTACAAGCTTTCAAACCTGTTCAATCTACCGATCGCTCTCTCGCTAGCTGATAGCGCTCGAGCGGATAGTAAAGGAAAATTGAAATTAACCTCCTGCCACTTCGCCCTCTTGCTCCCCCGCCCCTATCTTTTGCTGGTGTCTTTAGGGCGGAGGCAAGCGCAAGGGCTCGATCGCCGTGTACCTGGAGCCGTGGCACGCCGACATCGTGGCGTTCTTGGACCTGAAGAAGAACCACGGCAACGAGCTCGAGCGCGCGAGGGACCTTTTCTACGCCATGTGGATCCCCGACCTCTTCATGCAGGTCTGTAGTATGTGGTAATAGTACGTATGTAGGGGCGATTTTTTCCTTTTTTGCTTGTGATACTCCTTCTTGTGTTGCTGTTGTCGGCAGCAGTTGACGAATGGTTTCTCGAAATGTCACGAAGTGTGTTGTGCGCTACAAAGGTGTTCCGTTTTCTCGAAAGGTCACGAAGTGTGTTATCAGCCGTTAAGTGTAGAGTTGGCTTCTGTTGCTTCGTTGGATCTTGGAGGCAGGAGGTTGACCCTCCACACATTTTGTGGGCGTGGCTCACCTCCTACCCACGCACGCTAGGCCTCCATTGTTGCTTCTGAGTGCGTGTGTGGAGGGTTGGAGGCGAGCGAAGTCTGTCCTACCCCTAGCCCATCTAAGTCCACCTCACGAATATGCCAGCATTTTGTGGCGTCACTTGTGCCTTCATGCTGCAGTCTTGATATTGCTCCGGGACCGATTTACACCTTTTTTTTGTTTAGCCCTTGACCTTTTTTTCGATTTTTGGTTGTTTGTTGTTGCAGAGGGTGGAGGCTGATGGCGACTGGAACCTCTTCTGCCCCAACGAGGCCCCTGGCCTGAGCGACACGCACAGCGAAGAATTCAAGGTATGCCACGCCCTGAACACGCCGCGCGTAAGAGCGGTTGCATTATTTTGTCATCGCCTGTTACGCTATTACTGTGTGGGATGGGTCTTGTGTGCGCACAGTCAAGACCCGAAGCGCACTCCACCGCCAGGCTACATTCACAAGAGGATATTCTGGTGGCTGCTGCTGCTGCTACGCTTCAACGGATGCGACTGCCCCACATGCAGGCATCGAGTCCCTGCTCTTGCCTGTCTTTTCTTGATGGCATGGTTGGATTTTCTGCCGCTGTGAAAGGTTTTCTTTCCTATCAACCAACTGGTGCCGTACACTATTCCTAATGCCGTCGGGTCTGTTGTGTTGTTGTCTGAGCAGGAGCTGTACGAGCAGTACGAGGCGAAGGAAGGACTCTCTCGCCGCACCATGAAGGCTCGCCTGCTGTGGGATGCGATCCTCGAGTCTCAGGTTTGGAGACCTTGATTCGATTTCGCGATGAGGTCGTAGCAGAACGTGCAACGGCTGAGAGAGCTGCGCAGCAAAGAAAACGCACCGTGGACCCTCTGAATATTGTCCTTGAGGGAACACGCACATGGGGCACTCTTAACACTGTGCATGTCGTACGAAATGCGTATCCCGGGTTGGCACTGCTGCCCAGGGGTAGTGGTGTGTGTATCGTCTTTTCTTAGTCGGACGTCGATTTTCGTTCTTTCTCCTTTGCTAATTTGTGCGGTGCCCCTATTTGGTGTCTTTGGCACGAAACAGGTGGAGACAGGCACCCCTTACATGCTGTACAAGGACGCGTGCAACTTCAAGAGCAACCAGAAGAACCTGGGCACCATCAAGTCCTCCAACCTCTGCACGGAGATCGTGGAGTACACCGCTCCGGACGAGGTAAATGCCATCATCGATTTGCCATCACTTGTACGTTAGTACGAGTGCCGTACCGTTCCAGTAGGCTCTTGAAGGGCGCCACGGAAACATCCCTTGCCCCGGTAGAGGACAGTTCGATCGGTCTGGTGGCGTGCTGGTAGTAGTCGGCCGAGTTTCATGTGAGATGGGAATGATTTCGATACGGCACGCCTGGGAAGTCTCGAAGAGATTGTCGGTCTCTGGGGTTGTGGTAGCCGACCTGTCGTCGCGAAAACAAAACACAAATTGGCAACCTTCGTTGCACCCCTTGTTGTAGTCGTTCGAGGCATTACATGTACACGTGAAACGGTGCTATCCCCCCCCTCCTCTTCCCCACAAGTGCTCATACGTATGCTACCAGGACCGCCGCCGTACCCCCACCATCATCTTACGCTCTCTGCCCACGACGGCACCCCTCCCATTGTTCCCCACGTTCCAACCATCCACGTGACGCCTTTTACCCTGTCATGTTCCCATGGTACCATTGTTTTTGTGTAGGTGGCCGTGTGCAACCTGGCGTCCATCAACTTGTCGGCGCTGGTCATCCCCCCGACGGCTGAGACCACCAAGGCCACGTACGACTTCGAGAAGCTTCAGCACATCTCCGAGGTCGTGACCCGCAACCTGAACCGCGTCATCGACGCCAACTACTACCCCATCGAGGAGGCGCGGAACTCCAACATGCGCCACAGGCCCATTGGCATCGGGGTGCAGGTGAGGAAGAGGGCATCTCGCTGCTGCTGTTGCTATGGTGGTGGTCTGTGCAAGTGGTGTTTGGGGGGGACTTAGGGGGGTGCCTACGCGGTGAAAGGTTTTGTCTCATGTTTTGGTGATGGTTGTACGTGCTGGGTATGGCGTTGTTGTGGACCGCCTGTGTCTGCTGTGGATTGGGGGTGTTAAAATGCGGCTGGCGTGGGTGTTCCCGTTCGCTATTGCATCGGCCGCTCCAAAGACGTGCGCAGTCTGTCGACCATCTCGACCAACCCGGGATCGTTTTTGCGTACATTGCTCTTCCCTTCATGTGATTCTGACTTGGTGCTTTTGTCAACCTTCCGCTTGATTTTCTGTTTTACTGGTGTCTTCTATCTATGCCTTTTAAGGGTCTCGCGGACGCCTTCATCAAGATGCGCTTGCCTTTCGAGTCGGAAGAGGCGTGCAAGCTCAACCGAGACATCTTCGAGACCATCTACTTCGGCGCCGTCAACGCCTCCGTCGAGGTGAGCGGAGCGAGAGCATAAGTGTTGGATCTCGCTTCAGTTATGTATAGGTGCAACTCTCCGACAGCTTCTTGCACTCCCACTATCTCCGTGTTTAAAGACTTTCACCGCTGGATCGTCCTCATCAAAGTGGATGAATGGAGGGATGAAGGCACCAATGTGGACGCCACCTCCCGCCGTGTGCCCTGCTGTTCCCGTGTTAATTTTTTGTTCCTAGTTGCGGCAAAACACGCATGTGTCACAGTCGTCTGCCCCTCCCGTGTTTTCACCGCCATCATGCAGACTAAGCTTGTACGGGAATCCCCGATTCCCCGGTGTTAGCCTCTTACTGCCCCCGACCCTGTTTTTTTTTTGTTTTCGCACCCTCACCCCGTGTTATCCCCCCGCCTCCACTTTTTTTTGCAACATCTCGACAAGGAGATTGCAGACTGTAGAAAACACCCTCCACCTGCATGATTGTTTTTTTTTCACCAATTTCCCGTGTTATCCCTCCCTCCACCACCTTTTCTGCAACAGATGGCCAAGGAGCTAGCAGACTACAGAGAACACTCCCTTTGCACGATTTTTTTTTTTTTTTTCACCACCATCCCGTGTTTTGTCTCCCCCCCCCCCCTGTGTTTTGCTTGAACAGCTCGCCAAGGAGCTAGGCCCGTACGAGACGTACGCCGGCTCGCCCGCCTCCGAGGGCCTCCTCCAGTTCGACCTTTGGGGCGTCAAGCCCACCGGGAGGCACGACTGGGCGGCCCTCAAGGCCAGGATGGCCGAGCACGGCCTCAGGAACTCCCTGCTGGTGGCGCCGATGCCCACCGCCTCTACTGCCCAGATCCTGGGCAACAACGAGAGCGTTGAGCCCTTCACCAGGTGAGATTTTGGGTCGGAGTTGTGGCGTGCACTAGGTGCATGTTGATGTTGTTGTTGGGTTTATTGGGGCCCGTGATGTCGGTGTGTAGGCAATGTTAAGGTTTTACGGGAGACCGACCGAACCCGGGTGTAGTAGCGTTCGTGCGGCGGGGGAAGTCCGGTCGGGGTGGTTCTTTTTGTGACAAGAATGAACAATGTCAATCGCTAGCCACGCGTGGAATAGTCGGAGGAAGAGGTGAACGCAGGCCCTTCCCTCTCTCGATGTTTTTATAGCACGTCTCGATCGTCGCATTGTCGGAGTAAAGTACAAGGCTATGCGTCTTCCGCTGGGCGTGATTTCTTTTTATTTGTGTCTTTTTCTCTTGGCACGTGCGGGGAACTTGGTGTTGCTGTTGTTGCCTCGCTCTTCTATTTACATTTTCCGTCTGGCCGTACTTCTCGTGGCCGTTCGCCCCCCATGAGTACACCCCCCTCTCGCCTCTCTCTCGCGAGTACCCACGTTGTGGAAAACCGACAGGTACGGCCTGTGTGCTGTTTTCCGCTCAAGATGACCCATGAGATACGACCTCAAATGTCTCCATCCGCTGACCGGTTCGTATCTGACCCCCCCCCCCCCCA